GGAGGAGGAGGAGGAGGAGGATGCGATTGCTGGGACAAGACATTCCTGCTTGTATTGGCAGAGCTACATCTATTGGACAGACCGATTTTAATTTTGTTTTTATTTCCCATCCTCGCAGTTTATTGACCAGATGCGCCAACGGACAGTGGGTGAATTGCAGGGTTCCCTCAATCAGGTTGTGGGCCACATCCTGAAGGCGATGCCAAAGGAAAAGCCCCCACCGCCACCGCAACCACCACTGACTGCACCACCTATCCAATCAGCTGAGGACGCTCTGTCTGGAAACGGACTGCTTAAGCAACAACTCCTCTCCATCCTGCAAGGCCTTCTCAAAGCCAATCAGACGAACTCCGCTCTTTCCGGCATGGTGGGGCTGGAACTGGGCAAGGTAAGTTATACTGACTGCGAGGGATCCCCCCATTTGAAATGTTTGGCCATCCGGTACGATACAAATTTTCATTTTTATGATCGAATCGACGTGGTGCAATGTTCCCTAACTGACTGTAGACGTGCCACTTTGGATGCTCCGTAGAAAGATTACCTCGAAGATTTATTTAACTTCGCACAGTGAACCCTTTAAAACTGTATACGGGCGAATCAAATCGCCAAAGGCATAACCTGTTGTGATAAAGGAAGGACTTAAGTACAATCGGTGCTCTAGCGTCCTGAGCTACGAGGCCCCAACGAAGAACTAGGAGTTTTGTCTTCGGTCGATACCTCCTCTACCAGCTTTTATTTAACAGTCATAAACTGTAGTCACGCATGAATGCGAACTGGACACATTGCTGCACATGCACGCTCACGCGCAGCTGCGTTGTCAAGGCAACCCAACTAAGCAACCTTGTCAGTAAAATAATTGTTTTCGCTGTCTTGCCAGCTGGTATACCTTAAAGAATGGCAGAAGGAGAATCGTTTTTCCCCCACTGTGGTTTAGTTAACGGTCGGGACGGGAGTAATAGAGTGTATTATCTCCCAAAAGAACGGAAACGCGGCACTGCGTCAAAATATAAATCGCTATCACCTATGTCATGTACGTATGTAACCCTCGTTGTAGTGGTTGGAATATTGCTGGATCCTATCTCCTCCAGCCGAGCGCTTGCTACTGGCAATCAGTAATCGGTGTTTTGCGTCTGGCTTGTTACTCCTTTATAAATTGTCTATATATTTTAAAAATTGCCGAAAAGGGCACGAGACGTGATGACCATTTCTGGCCTATGAGTCTTTTTTAAACAGCTATGCACTACCCTATGTACAGTTGATTTGCTATTTGAAGCGCTTTTTCCATCAGCTTTAATTAATAATATTGGTTATCGTGCAGAATTATCCCGAGACATATCAAAAACGTCAGGATTTTGGCTTTTAAACGAGTTTCTTTCCGTCTGTCAGCAAAAGCCACATTGAGTACGATTTTTCCTCATTGACTGTTGACGTCCTTATGAGTATATTTTCGAGAAACCATGCATGAAAATATTAATTTATTATACTCATTTCGTAGAAAATTCTGTCTTCTTCCTATTTTATTCCTGACGAAGAAGTATCCTTCGGTTTGGAAAAAAATGGTTCGAATTACTAGATTTTCATGCATAAATCATCGCATCTGTCTAGTTATTATTGCTACAGTAGTCGCCGGTTATTAAGCCCACGGTTAATAGGCCCAGCCGCGTATTCACAGTAGTCGCCGGTTATTAAGCCCACGGTTAATAGGCCCAGCCGCCTATTAGTCCGAGCTTTTAGCTATTAGAGTAGTCGCCGGTTATTAAGCCCACGGTTAGTAGGCCCAGCCGCGTATTAAGACCAAATCAGCTTGGGACGGAAGTTTACATAGCAAAATCCGCCGGCTAATAAGCCCAGTCGCCGGCTACAAAGCCGTGAGATTCTCAACTCTCTGCGTGCGCAACTGGTTTTTGCCAACAGGATAGAGTGAGATTCTCATCTCTCTGCGTGCTCAACTGAAAGATTTTGAGCAGAACTTGGTCAATGAAATCATTCAGAAGGAAGAAATGAA